TGATGATCTGATCTGCAAAGGGGGTTGTTTCACATATATTTGCTCATCAAGAAAGCTCGATAAAGAGACTCAAGCACTGGAAGTGGGGATACTTAGGCGAGGGGAAAAATTCACTAATGCTGGTGAGATTTTGGTCGTGGATGATTACTCAATCCAGTATTGTGCGAGGGTATTTGAAGATAAGCAAAAGGAGGTGAAGCAGGTAAACGAAAAAATTGAGGCAGATTTGAAGACTCAGCTTAGGCAACCTGGAAAGATTGCTTGGAACAAAGTTGAAGATTGGCTGAAGAAAGCAAGCCAAATGGTTACCATGAAGGTCGAAGATCTGATCAGTCAAGGGGAATGTTCCTCATCAACCAGCATCGAAGAAAAGATTGAAGAATTGAAGCAAATGCTTGAGGAAGGAAGAGAATTCACTAATGTTGGTGTGAATTTGGTCGTGGATGATCGCTCAATCCAGTATCTTGCGAGGGTATTTGAGGAAAAGCAAAAGGAGGTGAAGCAGGTAAAGGAAAAAATTGAGGCAGATTTGAAGACTCAGCTTCTGCAACCTGGAAAGATTGCCTGGAACAAAGTCGAAGACTGGCTGAAGAAAGCAAGCCAACAAGTTACCATGAAGGTTGAAGATCTGATCAGCCAAGGGGAATGTTCCTCATCAACCGACATCAATGAAAAGATTGAAGAATTGAAGCAAATGCTTGGGGAAGGAAAGGAGTTCACTAAAGTTAGTGTGAGTTTGGTCGTGGATGATCGCTCAATCCAAGCCTCTTCCAGATGATGTAGCATTAGCATTATTCTTGGACAAAGTTGGAAGTAAGGTGGTGTCCTGTCAGAGATACAAAAGTGATGTAGAACCTTTTTTGAATCAGATTTGAAACAATGTAATGGTCTACCCTTTGCTATTGGGGTGGTGGCAACGACCATGAGAGGAAAAGTCAATGGTTACTCATGGGAGATTGCAGCTAAAAAATTGAGCAAATATGAAGAAATTGTTGATTGTTTGAAATTCAGTCATAACCACTTAGATGAACAACACAAGAGTGTTTTCTCATACTGTGCATTGTATCCTGAGGATCATGAAATCGAAAAAGACGAGTTGATTGAATTTTGGATTGAGGAGGGATTTATTGAAGATGAA